TAGAATCTAGGATTTCATGAACCAAACGCCCCATAAATGAAAAGTGATTCTTGATAGGTAAATAAGTGTGCTTATAAATAATGGAGTTTCTGTAAGATTATGTATAAGAGAAAAATGTAAGAAAGTTATAAAATTTTATTAAGTAGGCACCCATAAGATTAAAAGACACATGCTTGGCTTTTTCTTACAATGAAAGTCTTGCAATCATCTTCTTTTGTGTGTCTTCAAGTTTTATGCAAATTGATCTCTCAAAACTTGAACTTGAACTTCTCTATTGAATCAAATTCTTCTGGACTTGCTTCTTTTCACATCTTGAACATTCGCTTGAATACCAATTGTTAAGATCATGGAACACACACAACACTCACATATAATAGAATAATCGAAAAAAAAAAAAAAACATACCAATATATTTGGTTTGGTCTAACCCAAAGTAATATACTGTAAACCCAATCCACTAATAAAATAAATTTTTATAATTGTAAGACTTTTGAAATAATAAAAATCATAAAAAAAACTCTTTACTCAAACTTAACTTAAAAGATCAATTATATTCTTTTAATAGCACATTCATTTAACGATTATTTTAATATCTAACTATTTGATATTATTCAATCAAAATTAAAAGATTTTAGTTATAAGGGTGAAACTATTTACAATTTTAGTAAATATTTAATGGGAGATTTAAGACAAACTTTAAACTGATTTAACTTCATTCAGCTTTCGTCATAAAATTAGAAGATTCAAGATAAATTTTCAATAGAGAAGAAAAAGTGCCGAATCCGAAGCCCACCATTTCATTATTTTAATTTAAATATTATCCAAAAAAGAAAGGATCTTTTTTCCACTTACTCAATCTAAACATAGTGTAACGTCCATACACGTTTTGACATACGCTGCCTGGTAAAATGCGTAAAATGCCGACAACATACGTGGCGATGATTCAGAGTGACTGTCGACTGTCGTGTTGTCCTATGCTAGAGAACGACATCCACAATCAGATTATTCAATATTGTGCATGTGCAACTGGTTTCCTTAAAAAAAAAAACAATGCTAGCCTGGTATTTTGGAGCGCGCGTGTTGGAGAAAAGTTGTCCATTTCGGGAGAGAGAAAGACGGTCAATAAAGCCTCGCAGCCTCGCAGAGACCCGGTAGTTATGGAAGTTAAAGTGTCAACGAATGTAATCATAAAGGCAGATGCGATTTGCAAAGCAATATCCCCAACCACTGCAAACCAGTCAATTAGGAGGAGACATACTTATCCAAGCTCCAGCACCTTTGTTTTTAAGTAATGCCATGTAATCAACATATATCTCCAAATTCCCTGCATTCCCTGTTCACGCTTCACAGCAATTCATGCATTGCAAAAACTTTTTGATTGTTTTTTTCTCCTTTTACTAACTCAAACTATTTTGCACATTAGACTATATGTACACCTTGATAAGTTGTCAAGCCACAATTAAATTTTCATTTAAATTACACGAACTTGGTTAAGTTATAAACCATTATTCTTCAATTCAGATGATCGAGATGAATATCAGATCATAGATGTATCTAGAAGGTTAGTATATAGCTTTATTTGCATTTATCGGTAATTATACGTAAGTCTCAAAGGTTGTTTTACTTATCTATATATATATATATATATATATATATATAGATATCAGAAACAAAGAGATTCAAATAATTCAACTCTTTAAACATAGAAAAACATATATCAATTATTGAGTTAATTATATTCAATTCATCTACTTTTTTCTTAAAGAGCTGAATTTGGATCATGTTTTCACTAGATCAAAAAGGCAAAGTTTTAGAATAACATTAGATAAAAGTATTCCATATTCACAACAATAACAGGGGCTTCTAGGAGTCTGGGATATAACCCCAATTCTTATATCATGCCTTGATTACCTTATTGAAAATAAAATAAAAAAAGAAAAATACATTACTTTCTTTTATAATAACATCAGAGGTATTTTAGATTTTATTTAAACTTAATTAAGATTCCAATTTTAATCAACTCAAATAAAAAAAAAAAAAAAACTTCTCCATATCCTACTATTATCATATATTATTATTATTAAAAAAAAAACTCTTTTTTTTCCTCAAAATTTTCATGAGAAAAATTTGGCCTATTGAAGTTATATCCTACTATTGTTATATATTAAATTTATAGTTAATTTTTATAAAAATATTTATTTATTTCTATGTCATTATGATAATTTTATATAATTTTGCATCTTATGGAAACAAAATACAAAAATAAAAGAAAAAGAAGAACTATTTTTAACTTGTGTACATTGGTTTTCATTAGGATACAAATGTATCCTGCGCGGCAGCAATGTACAAGTGTATATTAGCTTGAAATATGGTAGAACAACAGTTACGTAATTGGTTAATAGAATGTTGGACATATAATTTCAATCGTCAAATTTAGTTCATGATAACTTCAAATTAAAAAAAAAAAATCTATATTTGATTCGTTATTATTGTATCATGTTAGGTACTGTCAATAAATTATAAAATAACATCTTATTAAAAATTAATATTAAATATAATTTGAAGATCTAATGTATTTGTTTTTCATGATTTTAAAATTAATTTTTATAAGATATGATTATATTAATCATTAAGAATGTATAACATATATACGTTAATCGCTGATGAAATATAAACTCTAAAAAAAAAAAGCAGTATTCTTTAAACAATGCCAGCCACGCTATTTCATTTTTGGATTTAGGGTTGGCCTTTTAGGGCAGCCATAGCCCACAGGCCGTTTATTTTTCTGTTGTCGGCCTCCTTTGGGCCCGTATTCTTATGAGTAACCACTAGTAAGTGGTGTAAAATGTAATGACTATCACGAATTGGATAATTAACCAGCACTAAATTTTGGCACACTGATTAGTTATTATCGTGGAAGAGAAAAAATGAAAAATTTAACAAAAAAAGTTTAAATGATGAAATACTTTTTCTTAATAAAATACTTAAGTACTCTCTCTCTTACATTTTATATATTCATACTAGTTTTTTTAACTCGTACGATGTACATGATTTTTTATTAAATTTTTCATAATTTTAAATTTATTTTTAATTATTGATCTAATAAATAATTATATATTTATAAATGCTAAGTTACAATTAAATTATAATTTATATATAATATATTTTAAATGATATTGTTTATATAAAACAAGTTTTAATTTTTGTAAATTTTCAAGAGAAAAAAGATGATCTCCGTGAGATATAAGTTGGCTTTTGTACCTAGAAAAAAAGAAATCACCATAAGAATTTTCCCATGATCCACCATGATCCTTGAAGAAGTTATTTGAGTTAGGTGACTGATCATAAGTGGGTGCATCATATGGACCATCTAGTCCCTATAATAGATTTCCATTTGCTTCAGCACCTTGCTTAAGAAGATTAAGCATGTTGAAGTTGTAACATTAGAACTCCCCAACTCCAGTAACTATGCCACTTTTGGCAAGTTTGTAGCGAAAGGGATAACGAAGCTCGTCATCTGGTCCTAAACCCATTGAGATTTCCTAAAAAACCACAATATGGAAGCCATTAGCATCAGTACACCAAAAAAGGGTTTAAGACATTGGTTTATTTGGTCAAGTTATTTGAAGGCAAAACATCTTACTATGATTGTAGAACCAATGAAAACTGAAAATGTAGGCTTAAAACTTTCACTGAAATCCTAGTAAACTTGAATTGGAGTTTTTCCATTAAGAACAGCAAGATCATTAGCCACTTGATCAATGCAAACTTAAATTGAAATGTGTTGTTATGGTCATATCTGGCCAATTGTTTGTTATGCAACCCTATCTTTCATCAATTGTTGCACTTGTAGCTGCTTGACTTCCAGGGATTGAAGGCCAAGGTGTTGCTAATGTTTTGTTTGGTGACTATGGGTTAACCGAATGATCTTGCTAACATTTTTATCTTGAAGGATTTTGGATTTGAAATTTTTGTGTTAGTTTACTTTGTGATCTACACCAGTTGCATGTTAGATTTAGTATGTATTTGATAAGTTTAATGTCTATTGACATGATTTTTATAGTGATAATAGCTTTTACATATACCAGCAAACTTATGGTTATATGCCATAAAGGACGTATTCTATTCTCAATCAACCTCTTTCTACTATAAAACATAATGGTTAGCCACATGTGATGCAGACATTTAACAAAGCAAATGAGACTTTAATTTTTTATAACAATTCTTCAAAGGAAATAATTTTGAGGAAATAAAAAGGATTGAGGTTTCAAAAGAGAGTTACTTTAAATGGGTTTTGAAAAGAATAAAGAGGAACTGAGAAGCTTAAAAAAACACAACACGCCATTGAAAGCTTCAATTGAAAAATAGTTAAAGAGGCTTTTATGTTTAAATGATGAAGAAAAATGATGCTTTTAAGAAAGAATTACTTACTTTTCATTTGGATTTGGTTTTAAATTACTTAAAAATTAATTTTAAATTGAGACGAGGTAATATAGAGATAATAATTTCATTAAAATTTAAATTATTTTTTTATTTATAATTTAAAATTTTAGATAATTCAATAATTTTTGAAATATATTTTTTTGATAAATAATTTAAAATTAGTAAATATCTTATATGTCATTTTAAAAGAAAATTTTAAGAATTTTTTTACGTGTCAAAAAATGAAATTGTCCATGTAAATATTCATATCAGTAAATTTTATCAGATAACTATGTATGTTATAATATAATATATATATATGATATATATGATTTGATTTTTTAATAAAATAAACTTAATTTTGATAATTATTTTTTAAAATATTATATTAAATTAAACTTTTAAAAATATGTTTTAAAAATTTTACATTTAAATTTTATAAATGAGACTGATAGAATAGGATTTTTTTAATTGTATCATGTATGCGAGAAAAATGAATTTAAAAAACACATAAATTCAAATCTTTATTTATAAAAAGGCGCATGGACATTTATATCTTTAATTTTTTATATTAATAACAATGGTTCTATAAATTCCAGTAGAAAAGCAGAGAGTATAATTTATTTATTTAACGGGACAGGAAAGGGCAAGAAATAGACTGTTTTGTGTGATCCTCCTGGACACGCCTCCTCCAAAGTACGAACAGATCCCAATTCCCAACCATAGACTCTGCGCGATAGTTTTAATTTGGTCTTCTTGATCCTTTCATCCCTTTTGATCGACGGAGAAAGAAATCAATGATACTGTTACAGTCCCATTCACGATTCCTTCTTCAGACTTTGCTGAATCGAGTACAGAAGTACTTTTTCCTTCGTTTACTTTTATTTTTTTCAATTTCATTTCCTTTAATCCGATAAAATATAAATTTTTATTTTTGTCTTTTATCTAATTGCATTGCCTTTTTCTTCTTTAATTGCATCTTTGTTCTTAAACAAATCTGATACATTTGAAAGGCATAGTTGGGAATTCGAGCAAAGTTAGGTCAAGGAATGAAGTACATTTCTAACTTATAGATGTATCTGTCATTCTATGTTGCCTGCTGTTATGATGAGTTTGATGGTTCCTCATCAGAGGCTCAAATCTTCCATTCTCGCTGTTGTTTGCAGTAGTGTTACTTTTAAATACCTGACCCCTACCCTACGTATAGGTATGCCAGATATGTATCATGTACACTGATGGCACTATCAACAAATACGGCCCCTACTCTTGCACCCTTTGTTGAAGCGCTGAGGCGTAAACTTTTCCGACTTAATAGTTTGTTCGGCTAGGCTAGATCCCACTTCTCACAAGCCACAAGCCCACAAAGAAAATAGTGCTTAACATTGTAAAAATTGTTCTACTTTTATCTGGCGAAGTTGCATATCTAACAGGAAACATGCCTACTTTTTAACGCTGTACATTCTGTCAATGGTCATGGATTCATATGTGCAGTACTTTAATATTTGTATATAACTTACACGTACTGGTGTTGAATGTAGAAACACCTTTCCGATTGTTCATTCGGTTGTAAACACTGGATATTTTTCAGGCTACCTGGACCTTTTCAGCTTCTTATTTTCACTTTTTATCACAGCAGCTTTCTGATTTCTCTCATGTTGTTTTTGCAGTCTTGAAAAGTCAGTTGAGCTAGACTACCACTGGGTTGAGTTTGATGATGTTCGTTACCATGTTCAGGTCAATATATTAAAAATTATTCATGCTCATTTATTTCTTGCTTGCTCCATTAGGTTCTCTTAACTGATAGTTAAAGATACCCCAGCCATTATATTATGCTCATCTAATTTGCAAATATGATGCAGGTGTCAATGAAGAATCCACATATTCTACTGCTTTCAGTATCATTACCTACTCCACCACTGGAAGCTGTTTTCCTTGGAGGACTTCCATTTGGAGCCATAGAAGCTATAAAAGCAGCTTATGGTGTAATTGTGCAAATTCTTGATCCTCCAAGAGATGGCTTCAATCTCACATTGAAACTGAATTTGTCCAAACTTCCTCCAGATGAAGGTCAACAAGTTTCTTTTCTAAGGTCATTATGAGCTTGCACTATAATTTGCCAAAACTCTTAGGATCAATCTGTTGAAAACTCCCATCCTTCATTATAAATAAATAAGAAAACCAGTTTTTGGATTATAATCATGTCTGAAAGGTTGTCTTAATTATTCGATGGATATTTCTTCAATGACTTTGCTGCAATTAATTCTTCCCTTGGTTTTATACTTGGATATGAGGGCAAGTAGTGCTTTACCTGAAGTAGAAAAGTTCAATTTACTAGGTGAAATGTCATAGATTTTAGGAAGGATATATATATACGCCCTTTTCCGGAACTCAATTGGAGCTTTAATTTACGAGACCAATCATATTTGGTAGGATGCTTCTAATAAGTAGCTTCATATCAAATAGGATGGTTATCTGATACTTTCAGACACATATACAATGGTCATCATATCCATATCAGATAGGATACTTGTCTCATACTTTTTATGAATGTATCCAAAATGTAACAGCAAAAATTTATAACAATTGAAACATGCCAAATATTTCTCATATACTATCAGATTCATAGAGACGTAAACATGACCTTATTAAGTATATTGGGAATGGTTTTATAAGCAAAACCATATAAAGGGATTAGCAGCTTCAGCAGAGTGTGGAAAGGAATATGTTTGAACCACTGTAATAAACTTTCAAATGAGAACATTGCATGTTTTAATAAAATATAACATTAGTACAAGGAAGACATGTTTATCTATTAGTGTATCTCTTTATATAATGTCTTAATTTTTCACCATTTGCTGCATTCACTACATTTGTATCAATCATTATCTAGAATGGAAAGTGTTTTTATGCTCATTTAATGATAATCTGACTACTGCATTTAAAGTGTGCTCCAAACAAAGAAATGTGGTATGTGCTCCTATTGCTTGCAAGGTTGGGCTTATTGCCTCTTCTATGTTTACTACTCCCATGGTCTTGTCCACCAATCACACAAAGCTTTCTCTTAATAGGAACATGAGATCTAGTTGAATTTAATCAACTATCAAATTCTAGTTTTATCATAGATATAGGTGTTACTTTTGAAAATGCATTGAGCTTCTCTTTTGAATGCAGGAACCTATACAATATTCTGCACCCATTAGCTAACCTTGTAATATTGCCCAGGATAGGTTAATGATCTCTCTTTCACTCAGGCTCTTGTTAACTAAACTTATTCCATGATGTTTGACGTAATTGCTAAAATGGAACAAGAAAATTTTAACTGTTAGTTCCAGGAGTTATGAATGAATTACTAGCATTACTATACAAAATTTTGAGTTTTCATTTTTAAGTAAAAATGAAATATGTGAGCCTTTCTGACAGGAAAGGGATGGAGGGGTGTATGCTGCCCAACTTGTGGCAGGGGGAGCATATTAAAAGGAGATCTCTATCTACTGTTTAGCTTGTTTTCATGGTTGATTAGGATTAATGGCTTAAATATAGATCTTGGCTAATTTTCACTAGAAAACCTATTTGGAGTTAGTTATTAATTAGGTGCAACAAGTCAGCACTCTTGGCCTTAGAGCACATGTAAACTTGTGTGTGTGTGTGTGTGTGTGAGAGAGAGAGAGAGAGAGAGAGAGAGAGACAGAGAGAGGGAGATTCTTTTCTGCGCACCATCATACCAAATTTAGCTTTTACCTGTTTCCTTGGTCTTCTTCATTCATGTTCTTTTGTGACGGTTTCAACTCTTGATGTCTTGCAGAGTACAAACATGCCCTTTTGGTAAAGATTGCATCTGTTAGGGAAGTGGTATTAGGTGCCCCTTTAAGAGTAATCCTAAAATATCTTGCTTCAAGGACTGTTGCTCCTGATATGGATCATCTTGTTGCTCTCGTGCATCGACCAAATGAGTCCTTTTTCCTTGTACCTCAGGTATTGTTTCAAGTAACTAGACCGATTTAAGGTTTAATGCTGAGAATGGACATGGATTTGTAGGTTTACTTTATTTTTCTTTCCTTGATCATCTTTTATACTGGTATAGATTTATTTATCTTGCCTCACAGATACTCTGTCTCACTCTTTCTCTTTTTCTAGAAGTAATTATTTGAATTTTTTATTTGTCAAAGGTACAAACATATCTACTTTATATATGAGTGACTATAGCTATCCTGTAATTTAACTGAATAGAAATACTTTAGCAGGCAGAGAAGGTGACAGTGGTGTTTCCAATGAGATTCAAGGACTCAATAGACACTGTTTTGGCAACCTCCTTCCTGCAGGTAATGTTAGAGGGTGCATAAATTTTATGCAGACCTTTCTGTTATATTTCTTGTTTTTCTCTTAAATGCTTCATCATCTTTCAGGAATTCGTGGAATCAAGGCGTACAGCTGGGCTGAGTAATGCACCTCCTTGTTTGTGGTCTCATTCTCCTCCACTGGAACTGAAGGGAGCAACTGATGATGCATTATCAGCAAATGCAGGATTTGTTACTTTTGGTAACATCAGAAGTTTGTAGTTTCTTTTACCGCTTTTAGTTCTATTGTCAATATGACAAACTCTATTATGTGTAATAACTGCAGTTATTTTCCCTCGTCATGTGGAAGGCAAAAAATTGGACCGTACTGTGTGGAATTTATCAACATTTCATGCATATGTGAATTATCATGTTAAGGTGAGTTTGTTTGTATAAATTGCTTTGCTTCATGTATACTTTATTAAAGATTCTTTGAGACATTCTAGCACTTTGAAATATTAGAAGGAATTAAGTCAACTGAGCTCGTAGCCTAAGTACAGTATTCATGACTGAGAAGTTCATTTAATACTTGTTAGACTGGGATTCTGAATTGCTTTTCAAAAAGAAACGTGCCTTTAACATGTTACAAACAGAAGAATGTTACCTTCCATTTCTAAATGCATGCTTGTACTTGTGTATGTTTTTGTACTATGCTATTGTCAGATAGGTTACAGTATAGTGTGAATGATACATCCATAGACCATTTATTTATTTCTTTGTTTCATTTTTAATTGATTTTGAGTGTCTAATGGATGAAATTTATATAGCTGCAAATAAATTATTTGCATGAGCCAATTGGGTAATGAGTGAGGATACAAATATTTTGTAGGTTGACATGGCTATTCACATATAAAAAGTAGTAAGTTTTGGAAGAATTGAAAGGAGTTGCCTCTCTGCATAAGGAATCTTCGTGGTTAAAAAAGGAAGTGCCATGAAGATTTACATAGGTATAGAAATTAAGAAAACCTGGGTAAGTACAACATGGGAAAGGAAGAGGTTAAGAACGTAGTATGTGCTGACATGCTGTATGGCTTTTTCCTTCTAGGCTTGTATGCAATTGAATAACCGAGGAGGGAAAATGAGATATGTACAAAGTTGTCAAAAAATGAGAAAAGAAGACATGGGGTTTAAATAAATTGCAATCAAGTATGAGACTGAGAAAGCTGTTAAAGACAGATGGAACTTATTTTGATTAGTTGTTTAATAACAACTCAGATATCAGACGAACTTTATAATTCAAAAGAAAATAGAAATTATTTTTTTAGTGGATTCAAATTACTATTTATAATATAGCAATTGCTTGTCTAACTGCTTTATCTGTAGCAGTTAGAATCTTGTTTGAGGGACTCTGTAGCAGTTAGAATCTTGTGTAAGAGACTCACTGAGGTAAGACAGAGTATTATGAATGCAAATTTAGTATAAGCATCTGTAGAGATGGAACCTTAAAAAGAACTTTGGATCAAGACATACCATGAAGTGAGTAATTTCAGTATCTTCACTCAGTTGTCCAAAAAGAAAGGGGAATTCATAGAGATGTCAATCATAAGATTTAAGTTCGATGGATGACATGAAGCAGTCCTGGTTATATCATTTTATAGTTTTATCAAAGGATTTTCAGGGAACACCATGCATTTGTGGCATTTTTAACATACCAACATTATAGTCCGTTACTTTAGACACTTGTGCAATTATTTAATCTCAGTGACTTCCATTCTGTTACTCAGTGCTCAGAGGGGTTTATGCACACCAGGATGCGGAGGCGTGTGGAGTCACTAATTCAGGTAGTATCGTTTGTTACTTGATTATGTTTCTGTCAACAGCATGTTCTGTTTGACAGTGGTTCCATCATATACATTTTGCTGCAAGCTTTCTTGCTAATTCTTCTGAAAATTTTGCCTGTGACAGTTTCTACTGCTCATAAGAATCTATATTTTTTGTAATGCAGGCTCTCAATCGTGCCAAACCAGATCAGGAGAAGACCAAGAAAACAGCACATACAAGATCTTTCAAACGTCTGGTATGTTATGTAAATGCTAAACTTGATACTTGACAAGATGGATTTTGCTGATGCTTGATAATATACATACTTGGTTGTAGAGCCTCAAGGACAGTTGCACCAATTCAAGTTCATAAATGTACTGTTGATATGCTCTTGTCGTACCTTCAAGAGTACTTTGCCCAGGGCTTTGCTTGCATAAATATGGGGATTGATTGCTGCAGGTGCTTCTATTCTAAAACTTTTATCTAGGCAAAACAAACATTTTTTATCTGGTCATATGTACAATTTGGTCGTTGCCATCTTGACTGAACTAACAAATGTATCATTAAGTCATTTAAGACATCTCTGCAGCTTTGTTTTTGCTAGATTTTTTTCCAGACATGTCAAAGTTACTATAGCGAAGAGTGGGTTATCAATTGAGATTTTAAGTTGTTGAGACCCAACAGTATTTATTGGAATCATGGTTTTTGGAGAAAATAGTCAGTTTTGATGTATGTGGCTTGTATCACGGTGGCGAGTTTCTTTTTTGGCTACAATTGTTACAGGGAATGTTTTGTGAGACGCACTCTAGCATCTCACAGCTGACCATCCATGTAGCGGTAGGAAAGCCGTTTTAGTTGTTAGTGCAAGACTCCTGTTAAGGGGAGTTGTTGCTCCAATATATGTTAATCAACGGTTGACATCGCTATTAAGGCTTTATCACATGTTTAATATATCCAAAAAAAAAAAAAAAAGATTGTCTGTAGAGCTTTAGTGTGGTGCCTTTGCTAGCTAGGAAGATTTAAGAAATACGTAAATACTCGCATTTTGAAGTTTCACTTCAAGGAACTTTCCTTTGTAATAAAGGACGAGGATACAATGACCAAGTTCCAAACAAAAGTTGATCCACATCAACTGTTGGCTGTCATGTTCAATCTTTTTAATTTTTTGGGAATATCAGGTTAAGAATTCAAGTCGGGTATTCTTTTTCTTTTGGTTGGAGCATGGCAATTTATTGCTTAAACCCGTAAAAATTTTAGAATTGCATTATGGAGGCATGTGAAAACAAGTCCAAAGAGTAGAGTTAAAAAGCCAAAAAAAAAGGGCGGTGCCGGGTAAATGCCCGCCCCAAAATATTAAAGGTAGGTGTTCGACGCTTACATTGAAAAATTCAACAGTTCTTTTTTATTATTTTTTGTGGTAAATAAAATTGGCCCCGTTCTACCTGAGCATTATTGTTGTTTTTTTTATTAGAACCTTGGTTCATTAATACCAAAAAGACCTTTTGCTAAGTCTTCAAGCTGCTGCTTCGACATGTAAATACTTTTGTTGTATTTTCAGTGAATATTTTAGTTAAAAATTATTCTAGTGTTATTTTGATCTGTTGTTCTGTTGTTACATCAAAATTGCATAAATAATGAAATAATAAGATCATTGAAGAAATCGGAGATGATTGGACTACTTTGTTGGAAATCCTGCTTTAACCTAAAAAAGCAAATAAAAAACTTAGTCATTGATGAAAATAAAAAAAGTAAAAGAAAGAGCAAAGAATGTGATGCCAAAAAACAATTGGGCATAACAAAAAGAGGCCAGCTGATTTAGATGCCGCCCGCTCGAGTAAACAAAGTAAGAAACTCCTCTGGCCTTCCGCTGCTCGTGGCAACTTGTTATGCGTGTGATGCAGTTTGTGTCCACCGCCAGCATTTCATAATTTTGTATTCACAGGTGACTGAAATTTGGAATCTTGTGATCTTACTCGGAATCACTGTCCTCGCGTTCCATTCCTTTTAACCCCCTTCGTTTTAGCTGCCATATTCAGTGCACACCACCAGAACAAAAGCGTACGATAAATACTTCCTACTATTTTACATGTCACTAAGAATAAATACCCATTGCAAATTCTTTTCACAGGCATTTACAAATACAATCCATGCAACAAAAAAAAAAAAAATCATCCAGAGTCATATTTCAATTACAACACCACTTGATTAGTAAGTTATTCTTTTAGATCTTTCGCTTAAAAGCATTCTTTTCCTTACCATGATAAAGTAAATTATAGTAGTAGTAATTTACACTCCAAGTTCATCCTAGACTAGTGTCATTAGGTAGTAGTAGGACCCATATAGATCATTTGTAGGTCGTCATGCGAAAATGTACATTTTCCAATAAATACCCTCAGGGCTCTTTGCTTAACAGTAACTACCAACACCCTAATTGCGGTTTAATCTGTAGTTGTGGGCAACAGAAAAAGTGATCACAACTCGTCAATGACAATGATATCTAGTTGCGTCCTCCGCTGAGGAGGAGGTTCCACAATTTGATCGCAACTTGAAATGTAAACAATCATGTAGGTTATTTATTCTCTGCAACAACAAGCCTAAAATTGACAGGAGACGTATATCTATATACCTCAATGTTAAAAGAGTACTTAAGATCTTAAAAGGTTGACAGCTGGTTTTTTGTTATTGTTGTTTTTTTTTTTTTAAAATTTTGTGAACTTTGAGATATAAAAGTTGAATCTATGTTTGACATCTCTTTATTATTATTATTATTTTTAATTTGGAGGACTTATAAAATTTGAGGTGTTTGTGGGTTATTTTGTGGATTATTTGAGTGGGACTTATCTTTATAGTTGTAGACTGTCAGTGACTTTTTTTTTTATTCTTATTTTTCTTCTTCTTGGATTTTCTGCTGTCAGTTGTTTCTTATTCATTTTCTTCTCATGAGTTTAAGTTTTTAATTAGAATTTTTTTTCTTTTAATTTTTCTCTTTGGATATAAGTTTTTGTGTTCAATTTGAATTTTTTTTATTGATTTATTTTTCGACTTCCTTTTTGTAGCGGGCAAGAGTGTGATACTGCCCAATTTCTATTTTATTTTCGGTGTTTTGAATGTCGATTGAATTAAGTTTAATATTGATCAGTGATTTTGATTTTTAAAAGTTTTGGTTGTTTTTTAATGTTTTACTTGATTGACAGTGAAAAATTTTGAATGCTTTATTGATATATGCAGTTTTTTCAAGGATTATTAAAGATATTTGGGTAATTAATTTAAGATTAGCTTGGTTTTTAAAGAGTTCTCAACTTTTTATGTGCTAAAATTCCTAACTCTTCAAAAAAAAAAATTTTTTATTAACTCTTTATCTTTTAAACTTTTTTTTATATTAACATCAAATACTAAAATCATGTTTAGTGCATTAGATAATGTATAAGATAAAATGATATTTATATTTTATTATGTTTAGTTTGTATATTAAAAAAAGGGATAGCATTACAAAAAAAAAATAATCATTCTTTTAATATAAAATGATTCAATTCTCTTCAAATAGAAAAGATTATTTTTAATCAATGAGATTGAATTTACATGTCCTATAACATCTTTAAAAATTATATCAATAATTTAAATTATATAAACTTTAAAAAAGAATAATTTTGATCAATAAATAAATTATCCTATCATAATTCTTACACACATCAAATATAAAACAAAATAATATTATTTAATTTAATTATATTCATAATATTATTTTATCTTATTCTATCATAATCTTATGTATATAATACATCCTAAAAGTATTAACTCTTTTTAAAGGTACTTTGCATCACGTTTATAATACCAAAATGTCAATAGAATAATATTTACATGAATTTTTAAACAATCAAAATGAAATAAAATGGTGTTTCCTCTTATTCCCTTTAGATGTAACTCTTCTTAAAAGTCCTTAGAATTAATTTTTTTTTTCCTTGTTACACTGAAATGCAATTAAAATGATACTTATATTATCTTTTATATAATCAAAATCAATTAGAATAATTTGTCCTCTTGTCCTCTTAAAATTATAGCAAACTGACTTAACGCTTAGCGCGGCTACCACACGATTATTATCTACTCCTTCGAAAGAGAAAACAGACAGTAATTACCTTCTTCACGGATTTCTTTTCTCGAACCTCGTATCGGCTCTTAGTCAAATCGGATAGCCACATACCTGGAAAACAATACTGCCAAAAACACAGTACCAGGCGTCCATGCGCTATTTACAAATACACACCAGAATTTAGTTAATAAAACATACATGTAAGCAGAAATACCTGGAGCGTTCTATCTACGTTCTTAGCCCTTTTCTTGGGTCTCTGGGGGAGCTTTGTTCCTTTCATGGCTAAAAAATCGTCCTCTTTTTCCTTTCTTGACAAGGCAACGTAAATCCTGGGCCACTCGATCACTTCAACATTCACTTTCTCTCCCACTCCAGCTGCTAAAACAGTATTAGCAGCTCCACCTGCCTGTTCTGATTGAACCGGAGCAGAATCAGTCTGATTCAAGCGATCAGTTTGCACTACTGGTCCTTTTTTCTTCTCATCCTTAACTGACCCAGCACACAACTTCTTTCTATCAAGGGTCTCTAGAGTAGGAGATTGTTTTCCTGCCATAGATCTAGAAGCAGCTCGGCTAGTGCCACCACTGTTTCTGGATGGTGATCCACTAGCAGCAGCTGATCGCTCATCTAGATTCCTGGTCATGGCCAAGAAAGATGTAACAAAATACAATTGATGGGGATTGGTTTGGTTGCAAAAGGTGGGAAGTATAAGATTTGGAAGAGTAGATGAATATGTACAGTATAAACTACGCAAAAATCAGGAGCAGACAATACTATTAGTAACAACAGAATTTAATACCCACCTAAAAAACGAGCAACTCATAACTACCTTGACGAAAAGTAGAGTTCAAACGAAAGTACTGTTAATGGCAAACAATAGAGAAATGGGGGAAGAGAGAGGAAGAAATTTGAAGAGATGGTATCATTTTCAAGATGCAGAGAAAAGGACGGTAGTATAACAAAGTAAAGAGGGTTTGCTGCGAGGGATATAACAGAACCGCACTAACACAAGCCAGGCAAAGTGAAAAGGAAAGGAAACCCAAAGGGAAGGAGGACTACCCTCAACCCACAACCGGTGATTGGAGAAGGGCTGAAAGATGAGACGAGAGTTGATGACTTTCCTCGTTCTCCTCGTTTAAAGGGCATAAATGTACATTACAAGAAAAGTACTCTTGGGAACTAGGGGAGTACAAAGAAACTATGGAAGATAACTATAACATGAGACTAGATCTTGAACCAAAACAGGCAAAAGAAAAAAATATTACCGTCAGCAAATAAAGCAAACAAATGATTCCAAACTAACACTCAACAGCCAATACTTGCTACAAAAAGCAAATTGAAATCATCAATGGTTCTGACTGATTCTGAACTTCTAATTTCAAAATAACCGGAAACTCGTGATTCTATGTGGATGAATACCGACAATTTATAGGAGTGAAAAAGCATCCATCTGTTTCAGAAATTTTTATAAGAAAAGAGCAATAAATGGAGTATGCATAATCGCCAAAAATAAAAGGGAGTATGTATACTAAATTTAAATCAGTCTCTTAAATAAATAAATAAATAAACAGCAGAATGAATTAATTAAAGCTTTTCTTTTGAGGAAGAAGAAAAAAAAAACAAAGATATAATGCATCGGGTTGGGTACCTGCTAGAAAGCAAACCATTTCGAAGATTTGAACATCGGGCTGTGTTAAAGGCAGGTGGTGGTGGTGGCGGAGGAGGCATTGTTGCATGCAAGACTCTCCTGTGAACCTTATTGCCTATGTGCTGCTTACCTGGAACACTTGACGAGGAAGAATCACCAGCGAGTGGCCGGATCTCGGATCTTGAGACTCTTGCCCTTTTCTTTTGACCCCACTGCAATAGCACATCGCAACGCTTGGGGCTAGTAGTCTTGCTTCTCTTTGGCGTGTCATGGAGGAGGTTGTTGCCCTCAGTTTGTGCTTGTGCTTTTGGAAGAGAATTGGGTATTCCATTACCACTAACACCAGACCTGGGATGGAACGAAGTACCATTCTGTAGGTGGTCTTGGCTTCTAGATGGGGATCTGTATCTTACCCCCTTTGCTCCTTCAAAAGCAGTGCCAATATCTTTTGGAACGCTTCCTCCATTCTCAATATTGCAACTGTTGCTGCAGCTTCCGCTCTCTTCCCTGCACATTGTAGCTGCTGCTGTTGTAGTTATTGTTGGTTTCAAACCGAACTTTTTAGCACTGCTCAAAGGAGGATGACAATCTGGGCTTACTCTCTGATATCTGTAAATCAAAGCCATTCTCCATAAAATTGGATGATAATAATAGTAATACAAATTTAAGTTTGTTGTCTATTGCCTCACAAACGAGACTCCAAGTTATTGAGGAAACAAGTACACGCATAGTATTTTCGATTCAGGCATCGCATATGTTTCTGAATCAGAAACAACATCAAGCAACAGATCAGTGATTTCTAACATAGGCATTTAAAAAAGAAACAAATTGGAGACAATGAACTACCCGACAGGCTAAAATCATTCATTCTCCATCCACTCTAGTAGTTAGAAAAAAAATGAAAAATGTAAAAACAAGGAATAATTCATGGAGAAACAAGGAAAAATCGGTGAACACCGATCAGTGATTATCATCAAATAAAAGTAGAAGGAAAAAAAAGATATTCCGAAATTTGTTGTTGTCTTGTTGCTGCAATTGTTCCAAATGAAAATGGGACTCTATCAAGAACCCGATTTGATGAGATTTTCAAATCCACAACTCACAGTCCGAATCTGACCATATATTCAACCAACAACGGAAGCGAAGGGGAAAAGGAAGAGAGAAAAGAAAGAGAAATCTAAATAAAATGGCGATGAGGCATTGAAGACGTCGGTGGAAGCAAATCTGATCCCACGTGACAACTTTGTCTCTCCTCAACAGCAACAACTCCGGCAACAAAGAGGGCCGGATCAGGTAATAAACCAGAGAAAGAACTGACTACTTATTAGTCATGAAAGACTTAAGTTAGATGAAGACTAAAATAAATATTCATATTGTGACAATCATTAGAAGTTTCTGCCAAAAGAATAATTAACACCCGCAACACAGTTGGAAGAAACAGCCACCAGAGCCAGAGCCAGAGCCAGACCTCATCAACCTATATGACGGGTGAACATGGACTAGTTTTGGATAGAGTTTTGATCTCCTGCACTCTCATACCATTTCTATGGGAAAACTCATAAATCCGGATTCAAGGGGAGCAGATTGGCCAATTGCCAAAGCCTCGTGTACCGTCTAATATCTTGACGGAAGTGAGACAGAAGAACCCAGTTCAAAGTTCGAACCTAGCTGCACCCGAAGGCAAAGCCTTGCAGTCATGTAGGGGCATGGGCATTTTGTTTAGTGGTAGAGTTAGTAGTACTGTTTCCTTTCACTTTTTAAATGCCCCTCTCTTCTCTCCTTATTTACTACTTGGCCATAAGTATGTTTTCTACTTCTAGGGTTGGGTCCCAATCCCAATCCCAATCCCAAGCAGCCAAGCCCAAATCCATTTTCACTCGCTTCGACCTCTATCTCTGTATCTTCCGTTAGACTTTACCTGGTTGAAAGGGTGAAAATAGAAATTTTATTAATTTAATGTTTAATTTATAAAATAGAAAATTAATTATTATATTAATAAGATTTCATTTTTACATCCTTTTATTTTTTTTATCAAATAAAGCTTTAATATTTGTTGGCTGACTAGATTGAGTTCAAAGTCAAAGACGTTTTTAAAATTATTAAAATATAAAAATTCTAATAATTTTAAATCATGTATAAATTGTACACATGCACTTTAAATACTATTTATCATATATCAACCCTAATTTTTTATTTTTTAAACATGAGATCCACTTTTTTTTAATTTTTTTTTCATGTGGGGTTGCAACTTTTTTTCTTTATTTTTTTTTAGTATTAATAAAACCCAACTTTTATTATTTTTTAAGTTTTTTGAACGTAAACCCCATATTTATGTTGTTTTTTTAATTTTTTTTATATTTCATAATTTTTTCATGACATTCATTTTCTATTGGTTCTTTATGGCCTTAATTTTTTTTAATTTTTTTATTTGGGTGCCATGTGTTTTTGTTTTTAAAAATATTTAATAAAATTTTTTATTTTTTATAAAGCTCATTTGATATCAATTTTTTTCATTTGAAAAACTTAATAAATATTTTTTATTGTATTTTTTTACCCACTTGACATCAAACCACACATTCGTTTTTTTGTTCAATTTTTAAATTTTATTTTTTTAAAATTTTTCTCTTTTTATATATTTAATAAATAAATTTTTATACAATTTTTGCACTTAATACTAAATATATATCACATGTATAGACGCCATATTTTGTCTAAAAATTTTTTTAGAATAAAAATGGGCCTTTAACCATATAATGGGCCTGATTACAAAATTCCAAGCTTAATAAGATAAAAGCTCAAAATTTTTAATTTGATTTCAATTTTAATTTTGATTTAGATTTTTTTAATTCAGTTTTAATTTTGTAATTTATTTTACTTAAAAAAAAGAAAAAGGTAAAAGAAAGAAAAATGTGAAATATGAAAAATCAAAGACAAATCATTAGGGATTCTAATTTGCATGAAAATGGGAAGTTATAAGAATTAAATCACAAAAGATTAATCACAAAATATGTTTCATTTAGTTTCTAAATTAAAGGGATTCAATCCTTATAAACAGAACACAAAACATACATGATTGAGAAAAAAAAAAAGATAAAAGAAACCATATGAGGAGGGGGAAAAGTTTCTGGGTTTAATTTTTTAGTTCTAGGAATTCTTGATTTTGATTTTTGAATTTTAATTATGGAATTTTGGTTTGAAGAGATAGGTCCTCGTTTTGAAAGTTTGATTGTGGAATATGATTTGATTTTTAGGTTTGTTTTGGGTTTCTAATGTTGAGTTGATTTGCTGAAAAATTTATGGGTTTGAACTTAATTTTTCTGGGAAATTTTTGGGATTTGGAAAAATTTTAAGTTCTGGGATTTGGAGTTTTAATTTCTAGGTTTAGGTTTGGAATTTTCTTTTTGAATTTGTTTTTTTTTTTATTTGATTATAGAGCTATTTAGGCTTTGAAAAAGTTGCCTTGAATATGAGAATTTGTGGTTTGAATTTTTGGATTTGATTTGAATTTTTGAGAAAAAACTAGGTCTTTTTGGGTTAAATATGAATTTTTCAATGAATACTTGAATTTCCTAGTGAAGCTTATAATGGTCAGAAAGGTTTCACAATGGCTGGGTTCTAAGTTCATTCAATTTTTTGGGAAAGGTTAATTTTTCTTGCCATTGGTTGAATTTTTCAATGTCGAAATCTGAGACTTGCTTAGCTAGTTAAGTTTTCTAATGAACTTTTAAAGAAGAGAAAAGTTGAGTTAGAGAGATAAACAATAGGGTTGGATTGAGGAAAAGGTTAAGAATGGACCTTTTATACCAACCTAATACGATGCCATTTTGGAAATGCTAGAAATTGCCAGACCCATGTGAACCCACATGTGACCGACACTTTAACCCGACCCGAACCTCATGGTTTGGCATTTCTTTTTGCTTTTAAATTTCAGTTTGTTTTTTATTTTATTTCCTATTTCCTATTTTTTTGTTTTTTCCTTTTTTTCCTTTTTCATATTTTTATTTTTTGGTTTTATTGTATGATTGAATTAATATGCTAAAAAATGGTCAAATTATTTATGGTGTTTTATTTATTTATTATTATTATTATTTTGCATGATTATTAATTAATTGCATGATAATTTATATATTATATTATTGCATGATTATATTATGATTGCATGATATATAATATTATTGCATGATATTATTTTGCATGATAATTTTTGTTTGTTTGATTTTTTTCTTTCAATTTTAAAAAAGGGATTTCAAAAATTTTTTTTCTTCAATCCTATTAAACTATTAAATGACCAAACTATTAAAGGACTTAATGAATTTTCTTGAAAAAAATATTTTTTTAAAATCCTACAAACATATTGGAGGATAATTATTAATGAAAAATCTTACTAGTATATTGAAAAATATTTCTGAAAATAAATTGTTTTCACAAACAAATAAAATTCCAATCCTACTAATATATAGGAAGATATCTTTGATAGAAAATTTTACCAACATATTAAAAAATATTTTTGAAAATAAATTATTTTCACAAAATTTTTTATAATAAAAAAATTAAATGAATCTGACGATAGAGTCTTTTCAGAATAGAACACTAGTATCCATAAATACTCTTGGAGGTGAGAAAATTATCTTAAATTATTACAAAACTATTGGAGTAATTTTAAGATCAATTCTCAATAATTAAATTATTTGGTAAAATTACAAATAGACCTTAAGGCTTGAATAATTTGATATCAAACAAGTACCATCTTTTGGATGGGTGCTGTTAAAGTGCTATAAACTTCCTCACACATAACCACATTCTCGAATCTAAAATTTGATTTTGTAGATTAGAATTTACCTTTTAAAGATACCGAATAAAGTTTAAGACTCATCTTTAAAATGGGACAAATTCAATTAGGTGACCTTTCACACCTACACAAAAAAAAAAATTGTTGGTGACTCCTAAAGTCTATATCTAAGGGTAAGTCTATGGATTTATACATTATAACAGTTTGACGACTCCATTGGGGACATCGAGAGTTAGATCAATAAATGATTTATTATTATCCAAGTCTAACTTAATAAACTTAAGAAATTTTTTTCTTGTTTGTATTTTATTTATTTATTTATTTTATCATTCATTTGCATATGCATAACATAAGCTTTATATCTGAGCTCCATCCCTTAGTGGGAAGTAAGGTACTTATGCTTTCATGAGTTTTTATGTCTCCGCATAAGCTAGCGAAACACTCTCACTCAAATTAAACCTTTTCCTTTGTAGCCTATAATGGGTGAGGATGGGATGACTTACTAGTCTATAATGGATAGTGGTGTAAGGAATAATTTGAAAACTTTTAGACTGTCAAACTATTGAACCTAGCATATAAATAAACCCTAAGGGGTCCAAACCTAGGTTAGAGCCTTACTTTTCCTTGTGTTAGAAAACCCTAAATAGGACATATAATGGGATATTTATTCTACTTGTAAATTTATGTATTATTTTTGTATATATTATTTGTATATTAACCTTTTATGTTGTTCTTTGCATTTATTGTTCTTTGTATATATTATGTGTATATTAACCCTTTCCTTTTACTATGCATGCATCCACATTATTAGATTTATCATAAGAAGTAATTGCCATAAAATAATTTTAACAATAAAAATCTCAGTCACTTCTATGGAAAGCCTAGCAAAGTCCTTTACTAGCTTGAAAAAGAAGTCTAAAGAGTTGAAGCTTGTAAACAAAAGGTTAAAAAGGGAAGTTTAAGCACTCAAACAAGAAAATGATGAATGAAAAAGTTTATTCATTAACCTTAACATAACACGATCATCCACCACTTGAAAGCTGACCTAACTTTTGTAAGAAAATGGAGACTTACAAACAAAGCTATAAGAAAAGGATAAGGCACTCTTTAAAGTACAAAGATACATTTAAATGCTGAATAGAGTAGTGGTTTAAATTGGAATACAAATGAGGGCGATGAATGAAGAATGTGAGCAAACAAAAGAGGCATATGTAAGAAAGCATGAGTAGTTGAAGTCCTTACTAGAGCAAATCACTATGGCTACTTACAAAGCCAAGAACATAGTAAAAAAGGTTGAAGAATAAAAGATAAGGGTGCCACCAGTGGGAGCATATGGTCAAGAATTGCTAGATTTTCTTAATGAAGAGCAAAGCCAATATCGACAAATTAGATATTTTTTTTCTCAATAAATTCTAAAATTTTTATGGATATAATATTATATTCGGTTAGAAATAACTTTTTAATTCAATAAAGATTTTCTTTGTTAACAATTATTATGTAATAAATTCTCTTTATTGCATTCATTCTCATACATAATTGGATGTTTTCATAAATATCATTCTAAATATGCACCATAATTGTGGTATAGCAAGGTTTAGAGATAACTCAACTAACTCACCACCAGTATAACACCTGAGCTTAAGCCAAAAGAATGTAGCAAGACAATACAAGCTACGTTAAAAAATTAGAAAGGGCTTAAGAAGAAATTAAAAGGGGAGTTAAATAAGAACTTAGAGACATTGAATAAACTGAACAAGGAAAAGATTATGGAATAAGCTAACCCCCAAGACCATCCATTGTAGAATGTTGTTGACCTTTTGTATTATCCTAGTTATAGCCCATATCAAGCTCAGTCTACTCAAGGCATTTCATCACGACAATTCATATTTCTTGTAGGGTATATTTACTTAGAAATGTCATGTGCACC